CTGGAATATAAATTAAAAGAACTTCCATATGACTTTGACTGTGAGTTTGACCCAAACGAAAATTGGAAAAGAATTAAAGATACAATAAAGGAATCGGCTGAAAATTTTCTTGGATATGTAAATGGTGTTAGAATAAAAAAACCTTGGGTTACTCAAGAAATGATTGAGAAAATGGATGAAAGAAGAAATTGGAAAAATATAAATAATGAAAAAGGGAGAATGATGTACAAGAAGCTAAATAATGAATTGAGGCGTGAAACTGGAAAAGCTAGAGAAGCTTGGTTAAGTAAGGAATGTGAGGAAATCGAAGAACTGAACAAAAAAGGCAGATATGATCTATCATACAAAAAAGTCAAAGAACTAACAAATGATCGCACCCACCAAATTCTGAGTATTGAAGACAAAGATGGAAAAGCACTTTTAACCCCAACTGATATAATGGGCCATTGGAAAGAATATATTGGAGATCTCTATGGAGAGAACACCAAACCTAAAGAGTTAAAATTGGAAAAATCTTCTCAAATAGCTAATGATGAAAGAGGACCTATTATCATGAAAGATGAAGTTGGATTGGCAATTAAAGAATTGAAAAACAAAAAGTCAGAAGGAGTAGATGGAATACCAGCTGAATTTCTAAAAGGGTTAGGCAAGGAAGGAATCGAGAAAATAACAGACTTATGCAATCTCATATATAAAACAGGAGAATGGCCTGAAGACTTTGCTCAAAGTATTTTGATACCTATACCAAAGAAAGCAAAAGCTAAAAAGTGTAGTGATTTTAGAACAATTAGTTTAATTTCACATGCCTCAAAAATCCTTCTTAAAATCATTAACAGAAGACTCTACAACAAGGCTGAAACATTTCTATGTGAAGAACAATTTGGATTCAGAAAAGGAACAAGGGATGCTATTGGCCTCTTGAGAACAATCTGTGAAAGAAACATTGAGGTTAATAAGGATACGTACATTTGCTTTATTGACATGGAAAAGGCTTTTGATATGGTTAACTGGACAAAGCTAATGGAAATCTTAAGAAAAATAGGAACAGATTGGAGAGATAGAAGACTCATTGCTTCACTTTATATGAATCAATCTGCCATTATCCGAACAAAAACTGGAGAAAGCAAACCATGCAGTATTGGAAAAGGAGTCAGGCAAGGGTGTACACTTTCACCTACTCTTTTTAACATTTATCTTGAGGAATTAATGAATGAAGCCATAAGTGAGGACAGTCTCGGAATTAAAATTGGAGGCCAATTAATACAAAGTATTAGGTTTGCAGATGATATTGCTTTACTTGCACCAAATGAACAAACTCTACAATGTTTGGTAACAAAACTCAACAAAACTTGCAAAAAATTTGGAATGAAAATTAACACAGCTAAAACAAAAGTGATGAAAGTTGGAAGGCTAATTAGCAAAGATTTGAAAATCCTAATTGATGGAAACAAAATAGAGCAAGTTCAACATTTTAGGTATCTTGGCAGCATTATTCAGGGAGATGGCAGATGTGAAAAAGAAATCAAAGAACGAATCAGGGCTGGAAAAATGGCTTTTTATAAGAAGAAGAACCTTCTTATTGGAAAAATGAACCAAACACTTAAAAAGAAGTTAATAAAATGCTTTTCCTGGAGCATAACTTTATATGGAGCAGAGACTTGGACCTTAAGGAAAAAGGAAACAAACTACCTTGAAGCATATGAAATGTGGTTATGGCGAAGAATGGAGAAAATCAAGTGGACAGAAAAGGTTAAGAATGAAGATGTTTTAAATTTGGTCCAGGAACAGAGATCTCTTTTAAAAACAATACAAAGAAGAAAAAATAACTGGCTAGGTCATATATTGCGAGGAGAAGGATTAATGCGAGTGGCATTAGAAGGAAAAATTGATGCAAGGAAACAAAGAGGAAGAAAAAGAAAAGTATGGATAGATGATGTTTTACTAGGCAAAACTTATAAAGAAATAAAAGAGGAAGCCCGAAATAGAGAATGTTGGAGAAAAAGAATTCTATAATTTGACTGCTTTCCATGGACCTGTCCTAGGACAGAACACCCATGAATGAATAGTTAATTAGTAGTTAAATTACAGTGCCTTTTATACTAGTTAACTACTTTTTATGTCATTAATGTCCATCATTACTCATCAATCAAATCTATTTTGTGCATCTAAATGGGATGAAATTAATTCATAATTTCTTGGTTATTTTTATTTATGACTAGCTTACCCGTCGCACATTGCTGCGATCTCAGAAGAAACAAAATGCAAGCAAACTCGTAATGATAAAATTAAATTTTCATTTTATCATTTTTATTGAAACTTATTATTATTATTATTCATTTTCATCGGGAAAATATTTCAAAGTGTTGTTTCAATTCTATTTATTTATTGAAGTGCTCGTGGATACACGATAGTTTTTGTTTTTCCGTCTGGTGCGTACACGAATAAATCGGAAGGTTTTCCGACGCGTGAGCCGGCCACATACACTTGTCCATGTGAGAAGCACGGATTCTCCAAATTTAGCCCACACACTCGCAGCGATTGTCAGAAGTGCGATATTCCTCATTTTTATATATTTTTTAAAATCCTTTATAATTTTCATTATTTAATTGCTCCTTCCTCTCTTCCTTGGCATGTTGTGAAATTTCTGATAGTTGGATAATAAACCGTTTTATTGTAATTTGTCTTTTTAAATTATTTTGAGTCGATATTAAAATTTGGAAAAGGGGGGATACCTAGATCGGTAAAATACGCGAATTTCTTCCTACAACTTCGGTTGTTGTTCGGGGTACAGTTAAGGTTTTAACGAAGTTCGAGCGAATACATAATTAGCAAAAAAAAGTTGAAATAAAGTGATTAAACAAAAATTATTACAAATATCGTAAATAACAGTTCACAAATGCATATATAGAGATATTTTTTGAAGGGGGGAAATGGTCTTCACAATTTGAAATCGATCGAACACACTGTGCGCGAATGCTCGTGTAAACGCGCGCCATCTATCGTAGGATAAATGTACTTCGCGGGAGTGTATTAAAAAATTTAAAAAACTTTTCAAAGTTTTATGGCAATCGTACTATGCCACAAACCTTCGCCAGAGTATATTAAACAACTTCCCAAAGTTTCACGGCAATCGGATAAACGGTGTGGTAATGCATGAAGGACATAGGACACACACACAGACATACATTCATTTTTATATATATAGATAAGAAATAAGAATTGTTTTATGCATAACAAATCTTGACTTAGCAATTCATATCTTCAAATCTAAAAACTTGGTAACTGTTTTATCCCAAAACTTGAGTCAATTTCATTAGGAAGGATGTAACGAAATTCAGTAACATTCCAAGCAAAAACATAATTCATGATAATATGATAATAGAAAATAGCATTTATTCTTAAGCAAAAAATTTTAATTACATCCTGTGGGTAATCGTATGCAATAAATAGACATTGGGAAAGCACCATTAAGATGGCACTGAGATAGAAAATCAAACTTAGCCCTTGCTTTACATAATTTAAGGGTAAGTTTCTTATACTGTTTGGCCGGTGTAGCCATCAGTATACTTATATAACGAACTAAACTGGATAAATATACTACGAATAAAATGTTAATAATATAATTTAATTAATACAGTTATACATT